AGAGCGAGAGAGAGAGAGAGAGAGAGCGAGAGAGAGAGAGAGAGGGTCACAATACTGTTTGTTAACTATGAAAATGTGACTGGGTATTCATTGCGTAATGCTTTCCAGCAATGTTCAGTATGCCTCACAATCTGTCATTATAACAAGATTTTTTTTTATGACAAACACACATATATATGAAAATGTGTCATGTGTTAACATATGGATAAATCACAAGATGTACATTCTATGTAAAGCTAAAATTTACAGAAATGAGTGAAGGTGGCAAGTAAAAATCAAGAGATGTCATGATAAAATATACTGAACTGTAATCTACATGCATATGAACTTGAAAATATGGAGAATGTTGCCTGTCTTGTATTCAAATGTATCTGTTCAACCTCAGATTTAAGATGTCCTTTAAGATGTCAGTGCAACTCTACTAGTGCCTTGTAAGTTGGAATTTCTCCTGGAATGCGGGCGATACAATAGATAACCTGTAATATTATCAGCTCTTTTATAATTAGTCAATTTACATTTTGTCTTAAAATAGAACATCTTATTAAAAACATTAAATTATACACATAATAAGAAACGTTTACGACATACAAATACATAGACTAGAAATCAATGTAGGCATACTGTTATATACAAGAGTGTGTTAACAACAAATTGATTCATGCTCTATCTACACATCATATTGCTTAAAAGAAGAGTAAGAGGGCAGTTTTGTGGTGCACAACTGGGTTTCTTTTGGAGAAGGACATTTAAATTTGTGCAAATAAAATGAATTTGGTACAAATGACCTGAAACAGGAATGCATGGAAAGACATGAAAGGACCCATACCACTGAGGTATTTACATATACTGGCTAAAGAGCACTATGTGGGCAACAGCAGATAGAATTTGTTTTTATTTCTTTACTCCAAGCATTGCATCTACTTCCTCCTCAGGGGTTAAAGTGTGCCACTGTGCAATGGGTCGTCTTGGGTTGGCCAACATGTCTGACCAATGCCGGAGTTCCGCGCCAGTGCAGTTGTATCCTACAAACACCTTTCCAATAGCATCGTTTTTTCCAATCTTGTCATAGTCCAAAACTGTCACAACAACCTGCACTTTCTATAAAAAAAAGAAATAACTATGAGTATGTAGAGATAAAATATAATACATACAACACATTTAATATAGTTTAGTACAGCTAGGCATTTAAAAAGTTAAAGTGTGTATGTCATTAGCCAACCTTCCTGACTTAGTCAATGCACTCTTCCTCCTGTGGCTGTGACACCCTCTGGATGACAAATTAGGCTCATGGCAGGAGGCTACACTAAATGGGCCTGATTTATCAAAGCACAAAAAATGTTCAGTTTGCAAAGTTGGTAGCTTAGCTTAATTTAGCTTGTTAAATAAGGTATGTTCACTTTAAATACCTGAACATGTACAAGGGAAACTAAATTTTTTTTTTCTTGCACATGGTTAGATGATTACAGTGACCACAACTTCACCTTATTTATTAAACTAGTGAACATTAATTTTGCTGAACAATCTCTGCTGCTTTATAAATCATCCCTATTGACCACAATGACCCACTCCATAAGGCACAGAATACTCCACTATTAGTTTATTTTTATCTTTCTGATTCAAATCATTTATCAGCTATTGCAAGAGTACAATAAACAAAGTTAGAACTTGTAATGTATGGAGTGGGTAATGGTGAAGGACTTGTTTTCAAAGTTGCTAGGCCACACTTGTGAAAGAGATCAATCAAATGTTAACAGTTTTATCATGTATTATAATGTTATAAAAACCTTGTTTAACCACTTGACATCTGCAACCTGCATGTGGTCTTTGCCAACATTCTTGCTCTTGTAAATGGCACTCTACATTCTACTTTGGAACTAAATTAGAGACTGCAATGTCACTGATAGCACTGGTCTCACACTAATAATTTGGAACCACACTGATTGGGCTCTGATCATGTTATTATCATGAAAGCCAATCATGGTGATCACACGGGTTGTTTACAAAACAGGCCTGTCGCCTCAACTGCCATTGTGCTTCACACAGAAAGATGCACAATGACAGCTGAAGCTGATATGCTGCAGCTATTAATTTAAAAAACAGACGTTAAAAAATTATTAAAAACATTTAAAACAGAACTCCAGTCAAAAAAATTATCACCCATGCAGTGGGGCTACCTCCACTACAGTGCTCTATTTTCTTGAGTCATCGAGTCCTATACACTGTGTATAGGACGTGTGGATGCAGAGGAACATGCTACTGTTGCAGCAGAGGAGAAGACAGGCTGCAGGGAACGGTGTCCGAGGTTCAGGTGAGTATAACGTTTTTTAACCTAGACACAAACGAGCACTTAACCCATGCAGTGTGGGGATAGTCCCACTGAAAGGGTTAAGATTTGTTTTTCCCCAGAGTCCTTCTTTAGGTAATTATGAAATGGTTAATGTAAATTGCATTTGTTTAAACATTTTTGTCATTTTGTTAGTTATAATAAAAAAATAAGCATATAAACAGTTTTCAAAATAAAAACCTTACATGTCCTCAAGAAACATAAGAACTATTTAGGTAGGTAAATTATTTACAGAGTTATAGTCAAATTAACCAATGCGCTCTAATGCTGCAAAATTTGGTGTGGACATCTAAGCTTTAATGATCATTGGTCAGGAAAGGGTTAAACATAGTTTGAAATAATCCTTTTGATGCTCCTATGTTGTCGCTGATTGAAAGCAACAGTCTCTGCTGTAATTATTGGTAGCCAGAGACCATGTGAGCTTAGGCTCCAGAACACCAATTTTCTTTGATGAGAAAAAAAAATGATATTGTAAAATTGTAATGTTGCCTTGTGTCCCATCAATTTTATAATGACAGATCTACTTTCATAAAAACTACGGAGAGAATATTCTGGTTCTGTAAGCCAATCCACATAATCTTATTCCTGATGAGAATGAATATATGACTATACAGTCTTCATATCTGGAAAAAAGCTCCACGGATCCAAATCGCATATCTACTCCATGGAAAGCAGATTATGATAAGGCAAATTAGCTGTCAAATATGACGTGGGGAAAAGAAGGAAAATCTCATTTGCTTTTATCTAGATAACATTTATCAGAACACCTCTTACTATTTAGTCCTTGATGTTCTTAGTAGAGCCTGTATTATTTAAACACAATGTCACGTATGAGTTTGGCACTCCATAATGACATATTGCTCAGGATGGAATGTTCAGCCCTGTTTCTTTTTGAACATAATGGTAGATAAAAATACACACTAATTAGTTAAAAGTGACTGAATAGCACTAAAAACGTGTACCCATACTTTGTTCAAAGATACATCCATATGTAATAATAAGGTTTTTAAAAGGGAAACAGAGTAATTCAGTTGAATCGTTTTCAAGGTCATTTGAGAACATGAAGAATATGGTAATGAAAAGCCTTAATACATGTGTTTGAAAATAGAACAAGGCAGAAAACATGTTTGGATGCTCCAAGGTGATGTTTTAGATTACCTGAATTTGCTCAAATGGTACTTCAAAGCTGAAAGACTCGTTGTAGTAGGGATTTAGAGTATTCTTCTTAATAGTTGTCTTCTTTTTTTTCAGTCTCTTGCCATTCTGCATGAGATGGATTTTCACATAGGGATCTGAAAAGATTTAAATTTAATTAGAAGTGCGTACACTGAATGCAAAGGTCTGTGAAAAGGTATTTAACATTTCTGTGCAAACAGTTGTTAGCAGTATATAATAAGACCACCGATGATTGCTCTAATAGTTAACCCGTGCAAAGCAATTCTGCATAAGAATGTGTGTGACTCTAGAAGGTCATGAAATGAACAATAAAGTTGTCTCTCAAGTAATTAAAGCTGACCTCTAATCAGATATAAATGACACAGCTCTAAGCAGATATAAAAGACCCACACTGCATGGGTTAAGTGCAAATTTTTGTCTAGGTTCAAAAATAAAAGTTATACTCACCAGATCCTCAGAGCCTGCTTGTACTTAGTCCAGTCCCTGGAGCCTCTCTCCCCTTCCGCTGCAGAAGTTTAAGGTCCAGTGAGTCATCATGTTTTATACACCGTGTATAGAACGTGAAGACGCTGAGGGAAATACCATCGGCTTGCAGTGTGGGGGTGCCGAAGTGTAAGGGTTAATAAAAAAATGTATTCTGCTTTAAATGTGTTTTTAATGCAAGCAATGTAAGTACTTGATTGCGACTTGGTTTTAGCCTCTTGCAGTCGACTGTACAGTCTGTATAGCAGAGCTAAAAAAGGTGAGGATGAAGCAGTGCAAGGATCCAATCAGGTGAGCTGCAGTGTAGGGAGTCATGCTAATAAGAGGAGAGAGCAGAGTGAGGAATATTTGCTCACCACTGTGTTGCTTCTCCTTTCCGTTTTCAATCATAGGGTATGGTGGGGATGGGACCTGTAAGTAAAAGTGAAACTGCCGCACAGAAAAATCAGTTCCCCTTCTTTGCCAGATAGGGCTGTTCTGTAGGGCAGAGATGTGTAAATCTCCATACTGGAGGGATGGAAAAAAGGTAAAACAGCTCTCATATATGTATCTAATCTGTGTATTAATCTCTTTGTCTGGAGTTCAGCTTTATGAGTATTACATATTAAAGTGGAACTCAAGCCAAAGGTTTTTTCTAGTTTTGGATAGAGTATGGAAGTGTTGAAATCCGTCAGGTGTTTATTGCCACCTCTCTTCCCACTGGATAAATTTGCCCCCAACTTCTACTCTAGACACGAAGGGAGCGTAAATCTAGCCAAAGCATTGTGTTCTAACTATAGTTCATATGATTGTACACTGTTCTTCCCCTTTAAGATGATAAAATAAGCTGTTTATAAGCATTGCCTGCATTATTGTAATGAGTTGAGTGCAGTCTGTCTGCATTTGTCTTAAGGAAGCTCCCATCAGAATCAGGTGCATATGACCTCACATTAAACTTTTATAATGCATGTTATTGAGTGGAAAAGCTGATCTTTTTTACATTTCTTTATATCTGAGCTTCTTAACAACTTGCTTCCTACACTTACTTCTGGGTGGAGGCTTTAAAGCCAAATTCTAGCCAAAACATTTTATTTTGTTTTGGATAGAGCAGGGAACGGCTTTATTGCTGTCTGTGTCTCTAGTGGGAAGTGGGATTTTTCTTTACTTCCTGTTAGGGCAGGAAGTGATGGCAAATCTCTCCAATGGCAACACAGAGAAAATAATAAAAATAAATTTTTTATTAGAATAAGGAAGTACTTCTGACAATGTTTTTATTGCTCTCTGTGTCTTCCAGGGCTGGTGACAACCTTTGACTGAATATCATGTTTTGTTGCCAGGACCGAAAACGACTGGGTAGAACTCCTTAATAGAGTCACAGAGAGAAATAAGGAGAATTAATACTCTTTCTCACCTTATAAAACAAATGGTTGGAATTAAGCTTAAAGAGGAACTCGGGGCAACCTTTTTATTAACCCTTGCAGTAGGGCTACCCCCACACTGCAAGGGTTAATTGCTCATTTTCCCCCTGGGGAGGAAAATAAAAAAGTTATACTCACCCGAACCTCTGAGCCAGCATGTTCTTAGACTGGTCCACTCTGCTGCAGTGGTCCAAGGTCCCTGAGTCATCACATTCTATACACTGTGTATAGGATGTGAGGATGCCAAGGGACATATCCATCACTGCAGCGTAGGAGAAGACAGGCTGGAGGGAGTGCTCTGACAGCCAAGCGGCTTTGAGTTTCGAGTGAGTATAACTTTTTTATTTTCCTCCCTAGACGAAAATGAGCACTTAACCCTTGCAGTACGGGAGTAGTCCCACTGCAAGGGTTAATAAAAATGCTGCCTAAAGGTTTTTTGCTTATATGGATAAAAGGCATGCATAAGCTATTCAGAAAGATGTGCAGAGAATCTGCTGCTGAAATACAAAGGCTAAATAAAACACTCTTAAAGTGTAGCTTTTCACTGTTTATTAAACAAAAGCAATCTGTGAAGTTAATCTCTGGGCTGTTCTGTGGGCCATAAACTTTTATTTTAAGTTTATCTCCATTAAACTCTTTTTTTTATAAACTTTTATCACAGAAGCAGCAAATGCAATTACAACTTTATAGTTGTTATTACAGACTGAAATTCCAAGCAAGAAGTTGTGATTCAACGCATGTTACAGAATTTACTTTTATGTGGCATTTTGTTCCTGCAGTAAAAGCTGAATACGCAGCAAACACATTTTTTATTTCCGAAGGCACGTTCAATCAGAAAAGCTGATTGGAAATACAGTTGCATTCTAAATTATGTTTGAATGTTCAGACACCTGGTGAAGCACACTTTGCACTTAAAACTATGTAGTTCACTAGCCCTGTGGAATATGCTGCCCCTCTTGATGACCATTGTAGCATGAGGGAGTCTATCAAATGCATGATATAAAATATCCCAGCAGACACTGCTCTCTTGGGACACTGCAAGCGTGAATACACGCAGGCACAGATGGCTTGCTATCTTCACAGAAGCCAATGAAAGGGGAATGGACGGCTCGGTGGATTTGGAGACGTGAGAAAATCTTTAACAGCAGAATCCATTAGATCAGTGCCCAATATTCTACAAGAGTATAAGCCAGTAATACATGTAGCCTTTGAAAAAAAACTACATCCGAAAAGACAGGTTAGGTTTTTCTATTTTGCAAAATGAAAATATATTTGTAAAAGATTTTATGCTGTGACAGATGTTTAAAAATTTTAAATGGTATGTTCCCTTGTTGAAGGTCAGCTATGTAATCGCTCAAACCAGAAGGTAAAATCGTTGTTAGGGTTTTGCAAGCGGTACCTTTCCTAAAAAGTTAATGCTGACATTTTCTCCACTTCTGTTATAGGTAGTAAAATCGTATCACAGCTTCAAAAGCATAGCACAATATAGCAGCTTTCTGTAATCTTACTGACGTCCAGTTATCAGTCTAACAATCTATTATTCATTTGTATACTTTGCAGTATTACCTTTACTGTGAAGTTGTTCAAGCTGGTATTAAATCCCAATTGAACTTTCACTTTAAATCAGTTCAATACATGCAGGTGCTTAAAAAGAAAAGATGTGCAATGTCTTACAGTTTATTCTCTTTAGAAAGCAACCACAGCTTGAGTTAAAAGTGTGGAAGCACTGGTGTCTCTACACAGAGGCGGCTCTTAGGCAAAACCTAAACATGAGGCCCCACTCAGGCCTGTGGGGTCTTACCAGGGCTCTGTGGGGTTTAAGCAGGCTGGTGAGACCCCGCAGAGCCCTAAATTAGGGCTCTGTAGGGTTTTACCAGAGCTCTGTGCGGTTTCACCAGTCTGGTTAGACCCCTCAGTGCCCTGGTGAGACCCCAAAGAGTCCTGGTTAAACTAGGGCTCTGTGGGGGTCTCAGCAGGGCTCTGTGGGGATCTCACCAGTCTTGGTGAAACCCCACAGAGCCGTGGGGAGACCCTACAACGCCCTGATTTAATCAGAGCTCTGTGGGGTCTCACCAGCTTGTTTAGACCCCACAGAGCCCTGGTAAAATCCCAAAGAGCCCACCAGGGTAGGGTCCCAACATGGTTCTGTGGGGTTAAAAAAGGGCTGGTGAAACCCCACAGAGCCCTGGTGAGACCCCACACAGGCCTGGTTAAACCAGGGCTCTGTAGGGTCTCACCAGCACCAGGGCTCTGTAGTGTCTCATCACCAGCCTGGTTAGACCCCTCAGAGCCTTGGTGAGACCACAAAGAGCCCTACTGAGACTTCAAGAAGCACTGGTTAAACCAGTGCTCCGCAGGGTCTCACCAGGACTCTGTAGGGTCCCACCAGCACCAGGGCTCTGTAAAGCTCTCTACGGTCTCACCATGGCTCTTTGGGGTCTCACTAGAGCATCAGGGCTCTGTGGAGCCTCACCAAGGTTCTGGGGAGTCTAACCAGCCTTATTAGACCCACAGAGCCCCGGGCAGACCCCACAGAGCTCTGGTAAACCTGTAGGGTCTTACCTGGGCTGTGTATGGTCTCACGAGCACCAGGGCTATGTCGGATCTCACCAGCCTGGTTAGACCCCACAGAGCCCAGTTAGACCCCAAAGAGCCCTGATTAAATCAGGGCTCTGCAGGGTCTCATCAGGCATCTGTAGAGTTTTGCCAGGGCTCTGTAGGGTCTCGGCAGGGCTATGTAGGCTCTCGCCACCCTGGTTAGACCCCTCAGATGCCTGGTGAGACCCCACAGTAGCAGGGTTCTGTGGCGTCTCACCAGCCTGGTTAAACCCCTTCAGGGCCCTGGTGAGACCCCACAGACCAGGGATCTGTGGGATCTCACCAGGGCTCTGATGGGGCCTCACCAGGGTAGCAGGGATCTGTGGAGTCTAATCAGGGCGAGATCCCAAAGAGCCCTGGTTAAACCAGGGCTCTCCACAGGGCTCTCACCTGCTTTCCACAAGGCTCTCCAGGCTGCCACTCCAGTACTGTGTGTGCTGTGCTGGCCGTGTCCTGTGGGTGTCTCCATCAGCTTCTGCAGTTAAACTCCGCCCTCCCCGCCAGAGATCCTCGTGTGGTGGATGGGAGGGGTGAGGTCTCTTCTCATTGGCTGGTGGGCGGAGCTTCGTGCAGAAGACCGAGCCGATGGTCCGCACCAACGATCAGGTAATGGATGAGCTCTCAGCCCTGTCACTGTC